TTTTTATTATAAAAAAATAACACACTAAAATTGAACTGAAGAATATAATAAACTGCCATACAATTGCTCATTTCTGATAATTATCAACTACAGTCAATTCTGTTTCATTTATATTGCCATCCATCTCCCTCCCTATATTGTTCTGAATCAAGTATCAAACATGTCATTTCACTGTATTTTAGTAGGTGTCTTAAACATAATACCTGCAATAAAGCCTAAAAAGTAAACATAATTCCTTCCTGTTATTAAATAACCAGTCAGTATTCAAATTTCCAATTGTGTCATAAATGTTACAAACTTTGTTTTCAATTTTTGTTTTTTTGATTTAAGATCTATAGATCAGGTCCACCCATTGTGATTGGTTGATGCCTTCTTGGTACCTCTCACCTTGTATGTTTCTCCTTCAACTTCCGTCGGTTTTTTCCTCCTTATAAATTACTGAAGAAATAATTGTGCCAGTACCATCCCTTTGGTGTCATTCAACAATATACGTTGTTCTCTTTCCTGTAAATTGGTAGATGCTCGATCAAATTTAGGTTTGATTCTTTTTGGCAAAATGACTCTATGGGCAGTAGTACATGCCTCCCTCAGAAAGCATGTGATGCAAAGAAAGCATCTCTGTGCATTTTAAGCAGCTCACCAATTTTAAGCATGATCAATGTTGATGATCTTCATTAATTCTTTGGAAGGTGCAAAATGATATTGCAATTCCATCATTCCCTTTTCACTCGTTAAGTGGAACTTGTTTTCTGTTTTTGTTTTTTTTAAGAAAAAGTGTCCCTCATTTACTGTTTGCATACCCAGAGGTATGGGAGTTTGTATGGGAACTGTAGGAAATACTGAATTACTTTATTTACAACTTTTCTCAACAATGAGCTAGCCTGCTAGCATCCTCCAATGGTGAGCAATTGGTGCTTCGGTTATTGCACAGGGTGTTTGTCTCTTCATTTAATCTCATTTGGATCCTTATGTTTTAAACATACTCAGTATTTCCACCCACTACAAATATTATTTTCTCTATCGATGTTCAAATTGTGCTATCTTCTGCCTGGCTCGTGTTTTGAGAGTCCACTAAATTGTCCTTGATAGTTCCCTTGCTATCTGACAAGATTTGTAGGCTCATTTTATACTTTTCCTACTGAATACATGTTTGTTTTTTTCATTTACTTTTATTAGTGCGAGGCTAATACAATATTGTAGTGGTTTTTGCCATACATTGACATGAATCAGCCATGGATTTACATGTGCTCCCCATCCTGAACCCCCCCTCCCACCTCCTTCTGCATCCCATCCCTCTGGTCATCCCTATTTCTTAAAGTAACGATTTATGCTCATTCTAATTAAAAACAGGATATTAAACTTATATTTATATCAAACTTCTATCTCCTTTTCTTTAGCCAAGAATCCTAATCCTAAACAATGAAACGAATAAAGAATTATAAAATTGCATTATTATTCTGCCTTATTCCACAATGTTTTATCCCACACAATAATCTCAGAATGCTGACACTGTCACCAACAATAGGATTGTCAAGAGTCTAAGATGATTTTGGAGTTCTTTTTTACTTTAGGACACACCCCACTAGGGAGGTACAAATTACTGCATTTATAGCAATTATCTGTGAGGATTTGGCACCAACTGGCTATATACTTGGGTACATTTGTTTCATTTATGTTTTGTAACTTTGTAAAAATACTTAAATGACTCCAAAGTCAAATCAACAAAACATGGTATAATCAAAGAATTCCAGCTTCCAACATTGTATTGTCCCTTCCAGCCTATTCCTACACCTGTTACTTATTGATAACCATTTTTAAAAAATTATGGTTAAATCTTTGGGTTTAAAAACATATAAGCAGACACTTGTATGTGTACAAGAGTGCATGTGTAGAGCCCTATCCTTAAATTGTAACCTGCTTTTAACATACTTTCTTCTAGTTTGCTTTTCTCAATTAACAATTGAGAGAAATAGCTTCTGGAGAAACAGCTGAGTTATTTTTATAGCTCCATTATATATATATCATGTTCATTACATGGACATACTATAGTTTTTAACCAATCCTTTGAACATATATACATATATATTCAAAAAGAAATACATATGTGTGTTTGAGACAGATTTTCAGGAATTGTATTGCTAAGTAAACAACTGCATATATAATTTCGCTAGTTATTAAAATATACCTTCATAGTGACTGTTTTGCAATGACAAATAGGAATGTAGCAGAATATTTCCCCAAAACTTTTTCAACAAGTATTTTTTCAGATTTGGGATATTGGAAACCTATTCCCAGGTGGCAAAACGGTGAAGAAGCTGCCTGCCAACACAGGCAATACAAGAGATGCAGGTTACCCCGCTGGAGAAGGAAATGGCAACCCACTCCATTTGTGCTGTTTTAAGCCACTGAATCTGTGGAAAGATGTTAACGGCAGCAACAAGAAACCAATACAAAGTTTCTGATGAGTTTTTATTGTGAAATATTGGATTTAGAAAAAAGTACAAAATGTCAACGGTCAGATGTGTACAAGTACAGTATTTCAATAGTCTATACATGTGAACAGCTTAACAGGTTCACTGCAGAATGCATATTTAGACCAATACAATCTAAAAAGGACTGCAATATTCACAGGCTATTAATACATAAATAACTGGAGCCAAAATGACCCTCACTGGTAAATGCTAATCAATAGCTGAAAGCAGCCTAAAAAAGCACAATATACGGCACACCATAGTATCTCCTTACAGGTCCACATTGAGAGGATATTAGGTCATTAGGTCAACACACTACAGATCCAGGACTGGGACTCATTACTAATTTATACAACTGCAAATAATTAAGTTATAAAACCAGGTCATGGAATAAACAGAGGCATTTAATTAGGACTAAATACTGTGAAGCCCCTAAAATATTTTAGCCTCCAAATTTACAAAGCTTAAATATTTAGACTGATTTCAATTTTTAATTGCTTACCTACAAAAAAGGGGAAGGGGCACCTTTCTTTTGTAGCAGCTCCAACAAGGTGTAAGAACTATTACACAGTTTATTTTAAAACCACAATGACCACTGTGGATTGACAAATGGCTATGAATCCAGAATACAAACAGTATAAATTTTAAAGAAAGGTAATGACTGTATTATGAATTTAGCAAATCCTGAAAACATTAAAATCTGTGTTAAGAAAGCATTAGCTATCATTGTTGAGAGTACTAAATTTAGGAAAATTATTGCATGAGGTTTCATAAAAACAAACCGGTTTAATTTTTCCAAATCTGACTGACTCAATATTTTACTATCACTTGAAAATTACCCTAGATTATATGTTTTCAAACTGGATAAAACATTATTTGAAATCAGTTTAAAATGAAACTTTAGGAACAATCTATTGAAACATGAATCATGTTAAAAACAATTAATAAAATCATCCTGTGTTCTGAGGAAAAAGGATAGGACATTCTTAGAAACCAATCTTCAAACTGATAAATTTAACAACAATTTACTAGAAACAAATTTATCTTTGCCCATAAATTCCTAAGAGAAGGAGACTTTCTACTCTGTACAGTATACCTGGCAATGTTTGATACTTTAAAAATGAACTGAAAAGTCTGAATTGGCATTTACTAAGTAGGAGATCAATTCTATTACAGGCTGAAAACCACTAGATCAGAATGTAATTAGTCAATAATTTCTCCTAACCTATCCCACCCTACCCTTAACCTTTTATAGACAATTTTAAAGACTCTGATATAATTTTCTTATAAATAGTGCCTGAATCTTACAGTAGATTCCAATTTATTCAAAGATAATCACAGAATGATTTAAAAGATATTTAATTTTTCCAGATTTGCTTTAAACTTACAATTTAAGTATGGTATACATAAATATTAACTTAGATAACCACATACTATAGAGAAAGCAGATATATGGACCACTGAAGAAAAAATTTTTTTAATTTTAATAAAAGAAAAATAAAACATGTAACTCACAAAATATGAACATGAAGCCATATAACATAAAAAATTAAATTATTCTACCCATACTGATTTAAAATTAAATCTTTTGGGAACTATTTTAACATAATTCAATGAATTCAATGACCAATAGTTTCCCATATCACACAGAAACAAACCACGAATCATCTCAAATCTAATGCATTGTCAGTTCTTAATGCAACCTCAAACATTTTACTAGTAACTTTTCCTTTTGAAGTAGGCTTCTGTACATATGCATTTATATACAAACATTTATTAAACATGATTTTAAAACAAACCGTATGTACAAAAGATCAGCATTCCTATAAATAAAAACATTAGGTGGCAAAAAGGCACTTGTAAGTAAAAATCTACAGTTTTTACAAAACAAACACATTTTACCTTGGATACTGTACAATAAACATTAATTCCTATACCAATAATGAAAATACTAGTTTACTAACTAATGTTAACAATGTAACTTTTAAAAACATATTTACATATACTCTGAAGTCCATTTAATAAAAGCACCATGATTCTCTATTTCATGTTGATGAAAAGTATAAACACAATTACCAAAAAACCAGTGTTCACAATTTTTCTTGTTCAAAAGTTTTTGTTATTTCTGAATTGAAAACTGTTTATATGAAATTAGCATAGTGTAAAACAAAAAACAAACAAAAAACCCTGCTGTTCTGATTTCTGAAAACCATACCTACTCTATTATTGCATGTTGTGTTTTATAAAGAGCACTAGTCATGCACTCCTTTACAACTGTTTAATACTATTGCTGGCAAAAAAGTTCCTGGATATCAAATAATTAAAAAGTTACTTCAAACCAGTTGAAGTTTTATTTGAATGTTTTACAACTTAAAAAATGCTGTATATCAATTACAAAAGTGAATAGGAAACACGCCAATTCATCTGGTGTGCAAAAATATTTTTTCACTTCACAGAATTTAAGGGCTTCACAGAATTTTTTTCAAATTTTACATTTTTAGTAGAAACACTTAACGAATAACCACTTTCTCAAGGGGATGTTAATATGCTTCCACTTTTGTCAAACTTTTTACCCTTTGACAAAGCTGCAACCTGTTTGAGTAGCTCTCTGTTTTTGGCCTGTGGGAGACAAAAACATTTACCATTAAAAATATTTCAAATATTAGGTCATGCTGAAGAATACACACTATCAGAATGAAAGAGGTGATATACTTAGGCTCATCTCTTTAATGTCTGATGTATAGAAAGAATAAACTCTAGATTGGTTTGTCAGCCCCCTTTGTAAATGTCCATATTAATGTGATTGTTGTCCAAAGATACAACTGGTTACAAAAAAAGCAACTTAAAGTGAATCCATTTAAAAGAGGGTCAAGTTTTTAAAAACGGGGAAAATATTTCAGCTTTATTGTAAAAACATGAAGCAAAGCTATGAATATAAGTATTATTTTATAATGAATAAGATCAAATAATTCAAGTGATAATTTGAGAGGACCATTTCTAGAACAACCACAAAGTCCTTCATTTTGATGTGTATACTTATTTAAAAAATATGCATAAGAGGTCCTTTTTGCAAAAATATACAGACTTCATTGCTTTGCCAAACAGACTACTCTGTTAATGATACTTAAATAATTTTTTTTGAAGCACCCATCAGAACCACACCTTTCTGGTCTTTTTTTGTTGTTCCTTTAACTGGCATACAGTTATTTGGTATGGGCTTTGATATAATTTGAGCAGTTATACATCGTCACTGTGGCTTATGTTTGAAAATCATTTTCCTTCACAGGTCTCAAGATTTTTTTATTATCTAGACTTTTTTAACCTCAGAGCTTTATCTTCTAATTTTAGCCTTTGTATGGCAAGGTAAAAGTGCCTTCTCAGTTTACAATCTTAAAGCAGTTTCATGAAATACAAACCTGTCTCAGGCTTTGTACTTAGCATCTCCCTCATCCTTCTCCAATCAAATTCTCCCTAATTAATACCCATGATGACCCCCAAAATGCAAATAACCTAGCTATCTTATATTTGCAAGTCAAATCATTTTTTAATGTTCTACTGCATGAATAACAGCATTTCTCTATTCCATGATTATTAAATAATTAAGGTTATAATTAGGAGTTTCAGTTTCAAATTCAATTTCAGAAAATCACCAAGGATCTAAAAGGATTTTTATTTTCCGTTTAGAACTAGTTTGAGAAACTCAGAGGACAAATCAATGAGAATGCCTGGCAGTTAGTGAAAGTCAAACACGCACACTCATTATCAACTGGTGTTATCACTCAGTTGACCATCCAAGTAAATACGATAGTCATAAATTGTTTTCTTTTCACTGTTAGCTACATATATTACTTAATTTATAATAGACTCACTGGCTAAAACAAGAAATCTTAAGAAGCAAATTTTAAAGTACAAATTAATGAAGAAAAAGGAAATGTTTGCAAAGTTGCTCCAAAGAGATCTGTCAGATCTATAAGCTACATTATACATAAGTGTTTACAATGACATAGCAAATCATTAAAGTTAACTTTTAAACTACCTTTTCTCATCCATGATTAAAAAATAAAATATCAATGAGTCTATAACTGTCATATTCTAAGTATGAAATACAAGAACTCAAACGTTAGGTATTACAAGGGTGGGGGGGAGAGGGGGAGATGAATGGAGAGCAGCATGGAGGGGCACACACTAACGTATGTAAATGGACAGCCAACGGGAACTTGCTCTATGACTCAGGAACTCAAAGTGGGGCCCTGGGATAACCTACAGGGGTGGGGATGGGCGGCAGGCAGAAAGGAGGCTCAAGAGGGGGGACATATGTACACCTATGATTAATTTATGTTGATGACAGAAATCAAATGAATACTGTAAAGCAATCAATCAATTAAAAATAAATATTTAAAAAAATTACGTATTGAAAGAAGTTGGTACTGAAAGAAGTTAGCAGCTAATTTTCAATCTGCATGTATTATTTAGTATCCTAATCACATCATTAAACTTGCTGATAAATTATGTAAGAAAAAAGCCTTTAAGAAAAATCAACGGTCAGTTGCTAAAAGGAGACAAGTCTAAATCTGTCTTATTCTGATACATTTTATAATAATATTTAATATATATGCATTAAAAATGTTTTATCCTAGTATTTATTACTTCTTTATTACACACCATGCAAAGATCAATCATTTAAGAACTCTTAAGCAAGTTACAAATTTTTAGAAATGCTGGCCTAAAGGAAAGAATATGTGGATTAAGAATCACAGATCCTTCTCCGATTCCTGGTTCTGCCATTTATCTGCTATGTAATTTGAAATTTATTTTCTCATATGTAAAACAGAACTCACACCATCTACCTCAACAGGGGTTGAAAGAACTAATCAAATATACAAAACACTTAGCCTAACACAATGGCTGGTATACAAAAGGCACTCAAATGCTATTTCCCTTTTCCCTTTTATCACCTTATCTCCTAAACGAAGGTGTATTTTTTATTGGGTATTCCTGATATTTCAGACAATTTGGTTACTGTTTGGTTGGTTGGGTTTTGTTAAGGGGTTTGTTTTTTTTGGACAGTTTTTTTCTTGTGTTGCTCAGTGATTATTTTTCACATTTGGTAATTTCAAATGTTTTGAGAGCTTTTAGAAGAAGGTAAATTTTCTGCTTCAGTGTTCAGTTTCTTATCACAAAAAGATGAGAAAAACAGTTCACTATATTTACCCAGGTAAAGAACCGTACTAGTACATGGCCGCTAAGGGGAATGGGGTTAAAAAAGGATACTTAACTGTGACAGGAGGTCACCAATAATAACACAAATATGGAAGTGGTCTAACAGCAAGAATGAAACACAAAACCTGAGTAACCTGAGGTGGGAGACAGTGCAGAACAGGAGAAAGTAGAGCTGAATCTGAGTTAGAAGATGTAGGTTTCTACGCCACTTCTGACTATGTTTCCAGTTTCATGTATAAAATGAGGATACCACATAACTGAAGGTTACACTAAGGTGCAAATAAGACAGCCTATGTAAAATTATGTTGAAAACGTACACTTCTATGTAATTATTAGTTATTTATTCTATGAAATTTCAGCTACCAACCAAGAAGAGGTGGGCTAAGCATACTAAACAGACTAAAACGTCAGAGAAGTGCCCTGTGCTTACAGCTACAAGATGAAACAACGAACTGCTCTTCTCAACAGTAAGTCGTACTAAGATTTATCAAATTTAAGTACTGCTCACAGGTTTTTTGCTGTATCATTCCGAATTTATTCATGTTTTGGCTACACTGCATTAAACTGGAGATCACCCTGCAGAAGATTTTATTTCCAGTAATCACTCAGCACTAACAACCAAATGAGTAAAACAAAATAAAACTACTACTTGCTGGTGGATGAGAAATGATAATGCACAAGAAGCCTAGCATATAAAATGAGCAAATCCCTCAGAAAAAAGGGCTGATGGGTACTTCCATAAATCACCACTCATTTCGCAACCTATCTGAATGTCTACTATGTGTCAGGTTCTAATTCTCTTCACAATTCTTTGTAACAGTAAGATCAGCATTAGGACTAGACAACCTCTACCTTGAATTTCAACAAGTTCCTAAACCCACTTTACAATCTTACTCAATGTAAGCTATGTTCAAAGAATGAAGAACACAAAACCAAAAGATAGGAACAGCAAATATCCCTTGGCGTTACAATGTTAAAAAAAAAAAGCAGGGCAGTATTAATTCCTTCCTTCCCAAGTTGCACTCTCCCAACCAACAGCCTGAAGTCAGTGTGCTGCCGTCTTCTATGCTTTTAGAACAACAAATGTCAGAATGTATAAATTGACAGAAGATGTAATTAACTTAGTGCGTCTGATTTCTAAATTCATGAGACCTAGGTGGAAAAAGGCTTGCAGAAGGGGATAACCTGCGCCTGTGTTGGACGCTCTCCACCTCTGCGTGCCAGACCTCAGACAGCACCCTCCTTGTCACTGTGCTGACTGCTGGCGTCAGCGTTCAGCTGTTCCACACAAAGAAGCCCTGCTGAGTGCACGCCGCAGCATGCTGAGGCTGGCTTGCACAGGATCCCTCCCGTGGAGACTCAGAGCCCTATCTGCTGCCGCTGCTGCTGAGCTGTCTCAGTCCTGTCCAACTCTTTGCAACCCCATCGACTGTAGCCCGCCAGGCTCCTGTCCATGGGGAATCTCCAGCCAGGAATACTGGAGTGGGTTATTATTCCCTGCTCTAGGGGATCTTCCCAACCCAGGTCTCCCACTTTGCAGGCGGATTCTTTACCGCCTGAGCCACCAGGGAAGCCCAGAGCTCTGCCTGGCACTCTGGAAATCACAATCCAAAGGTTAAAGTGCACTCCTGGGCCTTGCACCTCTGCATGCAGCATGAATTTCCTTCACTTGAGGTCCCTGAAAATTGGTTTGTACCTCTACTTCTCCCATTATCTGGGAGGAAACAGAAGAATATCTACACACTAAACTTAATTTTCACCTTAGTTTCATGAATCTGAAAACTCCATCTAAATTTCAGGCACAAGTTTTCAGATTTAATCTACTGAATCCCCTCTATCAAGTGATTTCAAGCAACAACTTTTAATGGGAGCAGGATTAAAAACTATTATAAAGGCAAATCAAAGCTGAAAGTCCTCTGGATATGCATAAAGGAGGGATACCAATATGACTCTAAGAGAAAGAATACTATTAACCAAGTTTAGCCATCCTTGCTTAACAGTTTACATAAATTATCTCATTTACCTGGAGTTGTTCCACTGTTTCTTTGTGAGCTTTTTCCATACTGTTCATTTTTGTTCTCAAGTTTGACTCTTGGTACTGAAAATCTGCCTTAAGTTCAGTTAACTGAAAGGTTAAAAAAAACATAAATATATAAATGTCCATATGTATATATACATACAACCTGATATACAAACACACATCATTTTAAATACTTTTCACAGTAAACTCACAATTCATCATAAAATGGAGAATGTTAACAGATTCCTGCGTTTTATAACTTATCTAAAATTTGTTTTGTGAAATGAATTGTATCTAATTTACTAGTTTAACACTATTAAGATAATATTGAAAAACCAGTAAAACTTTTGAGAAGTTGCTATTTTTGTTTCTTTTTAAGGTAGTTTCACTGGACACAGAATTTGGCAACTGGTATGCCAACAGAAAAGCTTAGTGGTTAATGCTCTGGAAAATGCTTCGATTAAAACATACTTCACATATAAAAACAAAGTGAACAGTACAGCTGGTTTCAGGTTAAAATAATCTTCCAATGACAGAAGAAAAAAGGTTCACACTGGACAAGTATGAAAAACAAAGAAACAGTTTTATCAACTGAAAGCTATATTGCTTTTCCTTTAAACTTTATGTCCAGAACTCCGTATCTGATACCACCTAAGATCTGAGGTAAAGATGGAAAACAAAGCACAGAAACACAACTAACATGGAATGAGAAAGGGTTACTTTAAAATTTGCGCTTAGACAACTTAAAACAGTGATTTGAGAAAGACAGCTACTACATGACAATTTTTCTTCATAAATATAGATGGTCTAGAGATATAAAAAATCTCATGACTTCACACTAAAAAATAAGTTGGTATTACATAATTTCAATAAATGAACCAGGTAGAAGAAAGCTTCTGGTCATTTTTATTGATTGATTGATTTTTATTATTTTTTAAAACTGGAATATAGTTGCCTTTCACTGCTGTGTCAGTTTCTGCCGTACAACAAAGTAAATCAGCCTGACACATATGTGTACCCCCCTTTTGTGGATTTCGTTTCATTTAGGGCATCACAAAGCACCAAGCAGACGTCCCTGTGCTACAGGTTCTCGTTAGTTATCTTCTTTATACACAGAAGTGTGGTACAGAAATGTCGATCCCACTCCCACCTTTCCCCTTGGTATCCATGTTTGTTCTTTACGTCTGCAAGCCTACTTCTGCTCTGCAAATAAGATCATCTTTACCACTTCCGTAGATTCTACATGCTTCTGGTTATTTTTAAATCGTTTTCATTATGTAAGTTTTAAAGGTTTGCAGGTTCTTTTCTGTAATTACCCAGTGGTCACTAAACAAAGAAGTACACCAAAAAGAGAGAAAGGAAGTCACGGTGTCTTATATTCTGATTTTCTGAATAAAAGCTCTCGCTTTTATCAAATTCAAATAATTGAATTCTGCTTTCTATATTACAGAGGAACTCCTGTTCTGAAACACCAGTTCACATCAGATAAACTATTGATATTCTCATCTCTATATCATGAGTTGCCTCCATATTATTAATTTCTGAAAGATAAGAACATGTCTTTTTTATTATTATTCTATCTTTTTATCCTTCTGATCTAGTATGTGGCTGGCTGTAGAAGTCACTGAATGAAGTGAACTAAATTCAAGAAAATAACACAACTGTCTTACACTTACATTGTAAGAAAAAGGTGTAACTATGTAGCTATTTTAGGCTTACAATTATTTTCCTCAAAATACTGCAAATTTCCATGCTCCTTAGTGTTTAAGAAAAAAGGACACTAACAAAAACAGAAAACTTTCACCTAAATGCACTAACACAGACTAGTCATGCTAGAAAAAAAAAACAACAAAATCTAAGGAAGCCAAAATTCCACCATTCATTACTACTTGGTTTTGGAATCATTGCTATTTTATAGTACACTTACCATTTTACTCAACTTGTATCTAGGTTAGTACAGATAGACCTGTCTTTGTGTAACAGAAATCTCTAAAATTTTGAGTGTAAAACAAATTTTCATTAAAACTAACCTACAGTATTCTGTTGCTAAGCAAAAAGAACCATAAAAAAAAAGACACTCATAATTTTGCTACTTTTACGTCAATTCTAAATTTCATATATTGAATTTGCTTAAGCTATGGTACAAATGTATTAAAATAAATTTAGATCTGTTAACCATCAAGGTGAGGAAAAATGTAATGTAAAAGGTACATTTTTTTACATGAATGTCAGAAGTACAAGCCAACTCAGATTCAAGCATTACCGTGGATACTCAGAGACAGCTATATTCATAATTATGTCTTGTTCATAATTTTAAGAAAAGTATGTTTTCCTATTACAATAATGTTTGAAGTAGGTCAAACTAGATAGTCCAGGACCATAAAACAAGTACAGAAGTAGGTTCTACCCTTAAAGATGACCAAACCCCAGTAATAGCAGCTATGAGCACTTATACATGGACTTTACATTTTCATTTAATTACAATCATCCCACGACATGGTGTTAATACTCTCATTTTTAAAATGAGAAAATTGAGGCCCAAAGAGGTAAAATTCAGCTCAAGTGCACAGAGAAAGTATTACAACTTTTTACTAAACAGACTATGTATTTGATATTCCTCTTAATCTAACTTATAAAGTCCCAATAAGTAGACTTACTTTCCACCTTATATATAGCTAATCACTCACACAGGAAATTCCCACAGCATTTTCACCAGTTATTTGATCCTGATTGAAATAAACAATTGGTATATAAAAGACTACATTCAATTCCTTTCTTTAAAGAATTGACACAATATTCATTTATATCTCATTTTCAAATTAAGACATTAGACTTAACTTTAGATTTCTGGCTCAGTGAAACTAATATCCAGAAATTATTAGAATTTTATAGCCCTCAACTAATTCTGAGAACTAAAATTCTGAAATACTGCTTTTATGTATCATCATTAGATGGCTTAGGCTCCAATTTGCACTTCTGTGTCTTGTAAGAATCATGCACAACACACATTACCAAGTTATTAAAGGAAGTCTAATAACATTTGCAGTTATCAAGCAACAGTCAAGATGTAAATCTTACCAGGCTTCAGTGAACCATGTACTTACCTTTTTATCTTTTTCTAAAATGGTCTGGTCTCTCTGCTGTAAGAGACGTTTAAGTGACATCACTTCTTCTTTCAGTTGACTTATAAGGACAAAATTGTCTGTTCCCCCACTATCTGCTGACTGATTTATAGAGCTACTAAAAAGAAAAAAGTAAAACACAGTTAAATGAAGTAGAAGGAAAATTAGCAGGTGTTCAAATTGCATAAATTAGACAATTCCACAAACATCCTTAAGGCTAATGCAAAAAAATATGTACCTGACAGAAATGGATGCAACTGGCAAATTACCTTACTAATGGCACACATTACATACACCTGCAGAAATATAATTCAGTATTAGCTTTTAGGGGGTCAATACTTCTAGTGTAAAGCAATAGGCAGCCAATTTGTACAGTAACATCAGCAAACTTTTGGCTAATGAACTAAAACAAAGTCACTCTCATAATACTTTAAATCTAAAAACATTTTCCAAGCAGGTCAATCTCAAATACCACAATTAGTTTTGTGTTTCACTGAAGAATAATTAAGATAAAGAGAATTCAGACTTCTTTTCAAAACCCAAATTTATGCCCCAAATAGAATAACATAGTTCAGTGCCACTTTCTTATTACTAAAATTAAGTTAAAAATTTTAACTGAGTATGTTTACTCTTCGAGGTGACTCAAAGAAGTCAATGTAGAAGATACATGTTTCTATTCTTTTACCTAGTAATAACTGGCAACCAGCCATAATTGTTCAACTAAGTTGAATTTTCACAGCACTAAAGGAATTCATTTTTACCTATCTCCATTAGATGGCTTAGATTCCAATTTGGGCTTTTTCTTTGGAGTTTCATTCTGAATTGCTGCAGAGGATTTATGGCTGAAACCAAACATTAATAAAAATAATTAGAGTAAAAAGGGAAGAGGCACCAAAGGAAAATTTATTTTTCTTCCCCTAAAGCATTACTGAACATGAATTTTTTTAAAGCCTAAGTAACAAAGTTAAAGAAATGTCACATTTTTAAAAATACATGTCAAAGTATTTCAGAAAATATATTAACATATTTACCTCTGTTTCCACAGTCCCTGTTCTTGTTCTGGACTCAGGTTGCTGATTCTGAAAATACACAAATGACATCTAATAACAACATTTATTTAAAACATCAACATTTTAATAGCATTCTTCCCAATGGAATCAAATGATATACATTTATACTCTTTTGTTCAATGAAAGGCATATTCAACTAAGTTTTCAGACTAAGTTAATATATATTGAATAAATCACATTTTAATAAAATAAATTCTAATCAAATGATTACTGGCCATCTTGTTTAAGAAAAGTACAATGACAGGGACTGAATTCTCTTTTTAATTAGGATTTTTATAATTCAACTTAATATCATATTAAGGGTTAGGGCATATGGGCATGAAAACGAATCTAACAGGGTTCTATAATGATAAAGTCTGAAAATCATCCTACTCAGGCTACCCTTACTATTTTAGACAGAAGATATTTTATCTTAAAGTTAAGCCCTTCCTAATAATCCTACATGGAGATGAACTGGAGTAACTCAGGTAGCTCAGAATAGTGTTGTCAGGCTAAACCAGGAAATATCTGAATCTCTTTCTTTCCTAGTTTTCCTAAGAATCCTCTCCTCCAAAGTCTCCAGTCTTTCATTAGAGCAGTACTCTAGAGCAATCAAGCTGCAAATATTGGGAATCTCATGGAAACAAGTGATTTTACTTTTCCTTATAATTACTGCTGCTGTTTAGTTACTAAGTCATGTCCAACTTTTGTGATTCCATGGACTAGCCTGCCACACTCCTCTGTCCATGGGATTTCTCAGGCAAGAATACTGGAATGTGTTGCCATTTCCTTCTCCAGGGGATCTTCCTAACTCAGGGATCGAACTTTCGGTCTCCTACTTGGCAGGTGGATGGACTCTTTATCACTTAGCCACCCAGTAAGCCCCTTATAATTACTACCACAGTACTACTTCTTTTGCATTATGCCACAATGCTAATAACCACTTAATAATTCACTATGAAATGTCCATACCTTTCTCCCATATTTTCACATTAGCCAATCCTTCACTAACCTCTAGTTTATTCATTCAACACGTGCAGAGCATCTCCTATGTATGTATCAGACACCACATAAAATGCTGACCCTTGAACAATATGGGGCTTTGGGGGCACTGATCCTCCAAGCAGCTGAAAATCTTTGCAGTCAGTCCTCCATTTAGGAGGTTCTGCATCTAGACTCAATCAACCACAGATCATGAACTGTAGTAAATATTTAGTAAAACAAAACAAAATCTGAGTATATAAGTGGATCTATGCAGTTTAAACTTGTTGTTCAAGGGTCCACTTGAACCTTATACAATATAAGAGGTGTTAGATGACCTGGGCTGTGCGACTTTTTGCAACTTACTGAAAATCCCTGAGCCTCAGTTACCTCATCTGTAAAATGGATGTAACAGATATAGCTTATAGGGAATATGAGGATTAAATGAGTTATGTATGTAAAACAGTACAGTGCTACATACACAATAGAAATATGTACATGTGTTTATGTGTGTGTATAAAATTTATTGCTATTGTAGCTGTAGAAGTTTTTTAGCCATGTTCTTAAGAATCAGCTATAAATAAATACGCCGGGGAAACAACAGCTGAAATTCTATCAACCTGAGCTATTCTCTACTTGTGGTGGGAAACAGCAACCCTACTGAGGAGTTCAGTTGCCATTTTCTCTTACAAACTTCATTAAAAGCATTGGCAAGTCATATGCATTGGCAAAGTCCAGACCTTGAAATGAGAAAGATCATAATAGTGATTTAATAGAAACATTTGGAATCTCAGCTTTCTGAGGTAAGCTTTTCTTGTATCCATATTAACCTGAGTTTCTTCTTTCCTCCAACCCCAATCAATTTATATCACAATATGTAAACTGTCTCTAATCAAACTCATCCACTGATTTTCAGATATAGCTCCACCAACTGGTTGCCTATTCATCACATACAAAATAGTATTTACATTTCTTAAATAATCAAAAGGAAAATAAAAAATCCATTCTCTTTCCCTTTACCTTTGAAACCTGTCATTCTTCCAAAAGATTAAGTTACTGTGACAATGTTAGATCTTAACAAACAATATGCGTGTGTCCGTTCACCATTATCCGTGAAGGACAAGGAAAAGAGATATTTCAGCTGAGTCTGAGATGTAGGTCTGCCAGTTACCATCATGGTAGTTATTTTTTCGTATTTTTCCCTAAAGCAAGAAGTGAAAATAAGGAAGATTTATGTTCCTTTGCTCCTTGTAATTCTCCGATACAGAGAACAGAACATTTCTTCAAAGTAGCCAGGTTAGAAGGCACTATGTAATCTACCACTGTTAAACTCAGAAAGCACTAAAGCACAGTAACAAATGAAAAATGGCTAGAGAAGCAAACAGTATCAGCGCCTCAATAAACTCCCATAATCTAATATATGTGCTTGCCTAAAGTTTAGAGTCAAATGGTGTTTATTAGCCAGACCTATAAAATACTCCAGAAGTATCATCTGTGTTCCTAACTGTAGCAGACATCAGTTTTCTGTACATGAAACTATGTTTTGACTACCTAGGACTTGAAAAACATTCAGAGAAATTTGCGAAAATATAATAAATTCTCCTGAAATAAATTCTCAGTGTGTATCATGTCCCTTTTTTCTACATTTTAATTTTTGTGTTTAATTTGCTTTTTAATAGTCTTGATTTTCCATGAAGACTAAAGCCGCACTTAAAAAAAAAAACATTTACACACATTATGGGTTACTATATTACTATTATTTAACTTGTCTTCCCAAGGAAATTTAAAAATCAAGTAGCTGATATTTGAAGAGTTCCTGTTTTTTAAAATAGCAAAGTACCACTAGTCAAAAAGATTTTTTTCTCACATTTAGGCAATCTTCAATGTTTAGAATGCTTCTATCATGATCACAAATGATAGTGTTACAATCTGTTCTCCAAAAATACAAAATACATTTCCCAGTCACTGGTTAAAATTTACTTTAACTAAAACAAGTTAATAGTAACTGCTGCTGCTGCTGCTAAGTCGCTTCAGTTGTGTCCGACTCTGTGCAATCCCATAGACAGCAGCCCACCAGGCCCCCCGTCCCTGGGATTCTCCAGGCAAGAACACTGGAGTGGGTTACCATTTATTTCCTCCTCCAATGCATGAAAGTAAAAAGTGAAAGTGAAGTCGCTCAGTCATGTCTGACTCTTCACAACCCCATGGACTGCAGCCTACGAGGCCCCTCCGTCCATTGGATATTCCAGGCAAGAGTGCTGGAGTGGGTTGCCATGTCCTTCTCCAAATAGTGACTGAGGCAAATATAATTTTTACAAGTAAAATCCTAATGATTCTTTGAGTAGTGAGGTTTATGATAACATGAATCAATTAAGCATTAACTATGTACTTGTATTTTGACTTCATTACAAGATCATAATTTTATACTGTAATTCCCAAAATGTCTGATCTTCACATTTATGGTAAATAACTAAACACACTCACTGTGTAATTCTGTATGCTGAATACAGTGAGGAAATAGCCCTAGACACTCAAGAAGCTTACCAGATACTAAACTAGTACACACCTAGCATTTACAAAAAGTGAAACACCAAAATCAGGTATTAAAATGCCACAGAGAACTTTGGAAAACACGCTTTCAAAGTACTTACTTATGATGGCTACTGCTGTGACGATGGTGGTGATGATGGTGGTGGTGGTGGTGTTTTGCATGATGCTGGTCTTTCTCAGTAAGAGATGAAGATGATGAATTTGAATGTGAAGACCCAAGGCTCTTCCTTTGTTCTTTTGTCTTCTGTAAAACTCTCTTGTATGATAAAGTACAAAGCCAGCATAATAACTTCCCGTCAACCTTTTAAAAGACAATACTTATTTTAGATTAAATGTACCTGTAACTGGCTATAAGTGAAACCAGGTGAAGATAAGCTGTTCAACTTCTGACTCTCTTGCACACACAGATTTTTGCAAAATGGAAGTAAAATTAGACTTTTTGAATCTTGGGGAAATGCTTCTTTAGAGGTTCACAAAATGGCAAAGGATGATATACAGACATCCATTAGTTTGATGAATTTGAATTTATAGAGAGAAATTTGTTTTATTACTGGAAAATAAACATAAATTGAGGACAGCTATATTTCAAAGAAACCTTATCTAAGCACTAACCTGAATTCTTAAATCACTATTACTAAAAAGACAAAGTATCTATCATGACAGCAGAACTGTTAATTTATAGAAAAAAAGAAGAGATTGAATGACACACAGAACCAACTTTCATTTGCAAATTCACCACCTACAAGCTAAAAACTATGTCATCCCTAAATCAACTTGTAGCACTTGTGTGATCATTCACCCACATCCATCTCTCTTTCTCTCTTTAGTCACTAAGTCGTGTCCAACTCTCACAACCCTGTGGACTGTATAGCCTGCCAGGCTCTTCTGTCCATGGAACTCTCCAGGCAAGAATATTGGAGTGGGAACCCACATGCACAGAGCAGCACAAAACTTGTGTAGCTGGACTGCAAATGTTCCCAGATGAAGTTGAACAAGGTGATGTTCTGCCGCCTTTTCTCAGCTCTCACATTATAAACAAGCATCCTTTTTACAGTCTACTTAGTGTTTTTTATTGGTTTATTTTTATTGTATTTATTTTTTATTGTTTTGTTGTTTTTTTACTGTTTTTTATTGGTGATCTGTTAAAATTGTTCCCAAGTGTACTGCTAAGTGATGCAGTGTTCCTAAGCACAGGTGGCTGTGTACCCTACATGGAAGACTGCTGTTCAGTGGCTAAGTCGTGTCCGACACCTCTGTGACCCGTGGACTGCAGCCCACCAGGTTCCTCTGTCTATGGATTTCCTAGGGAAGAACACTGCAGTGCGCTGCAATTTCCTCCTCCAGGGGGTCTTCCCAACCCAGGGATCAAACCCATGTCTCCTGCACTGGTATGCTGATTCTTTATCACTGAGCCACTCGGGAAGCCCTTATGTGGAAAACACCTGTGTTAGGTAAGACTCAATCAGGCAGTTATAGTGCTATTTGCTATGAGTTCAATGTAATCAATAAACAATGTATATTAAGTAAGGTATCTTTAAACAGAGACATATACAAAACAGGATTAGGCATTGACTCTACCAGGTTGTGACCAGAGGCAGGAACCTAATCCTGTATTGCCCGAGGGGCCACAGTTCACTATTCACTCACTCAGTGTTGGCAGCAACTTTACAGAACAAAACTATGACAAACAATGGAAGTCCACTGTATGCGTATCAATGGGGTGGAAAGGAGATTTCTTTCCAAAATTATTAAGACTAAATCTATAAAAATTAGGTTTCTATCTTCTATTTGTTCACACAAGAAGTAATGAAGGGACATGTTTTCCAACTAGGATGCATATATTGCTGTGGAGGGACCTGGGAGAGGCCCTCAAAGTGAGAGTCATCCTCCAAATCAATTGACACTGACAGACATCAGGAAGCCTGTGTGAATGCTCAGCAGAGCAATGTCACACACATACACATACTTTTTAAGTTACTATAGGTAGAGGAAAAAAACCAATGATATAAAATATGAGCCTCAAATCAAAAGGCACATGACTAACTTAGAAAATATATATATGTTGAAGCACCATCAGCTATTTTTTCACACTAGCAACATCAAGTAACCAGCAAAAGGTTAAGTAGCTGAAAGGATTTAAAAGCAGTCAGCAATTTTTCCACACAAAATGTTGGATAGCCAAATAGTACAGAATATTCGTCACAGAATATTTTTTAAAGTATGTGTGCTGTGCTTAGTCACTCAGTTATGTTCAACTCTTTGCGACCCCGTGGACTGTAGCCCGCCAGGCTCCTCTGTCCATGGGGATGCTCCAGGCAACACTGGAGTGAGTTGATATGCCCTCCACCAGAGGATCTTCCCAACCAGTGATGGAACCCATGTTTCCCGCATTGCAGGCGGATTCTTTATTGTCTGAGCCATCAGGAGAGCCCAAGACTACTGGATTGGGCAGCCCATCCCTTCTCCAGGGGATCTTCCCAACCCAGGAAGCAAACCGGGGTCTCCTGCAATGCAGGTGGGTTCTTTACCAGCTGAGCTACCAGGGAAGCCTTCTTTTTAAAATGTGGTAATCTTGACTGATCAAGATTAATCTACATATGATGCCAACAAGGAAAAAACTTACTGTTTGTGCACTATCATCTAACCACCTGCTTTTAGGGACTCAAGACTACATCAAGCTTCAGTAATGTATTAATCATAAAAACTTCCAACTTGTTTGTGATGTATTTAATTTCCAGAAGATGTCATAACATAAATAAAACATACCTTTCTTCTTCCTTCCTCCTTCCGATCAAAAGCACATTGTTGTTTGCACTGTTCACAAGTCTGAGGTGGTCCATATTTTTTTTCTGAATTTGTGCAACGCTGACACTTTGTACCAATAAATGCTGCAATTATGTTACAGTACTGACAGGGCTTAGGCTGAAAAAAACAGATACGTATTTTCTTTAACTGAGACATTTAAAAATACTAAAATTTTGGTGCATAACCTAATCTCAGTGTACAGGGCATATTTCAGGAGTTAATTAAGGAAATGTCATAATGGGTGAAAACTTTTGTTAATTATGTTGCTCTATCATAGTCAAAGACATTTATTTTATTCATATAGTAACACATTTCTAAACTCATGAAACTTTTTACTCTATTAAATAGCTAAATAAGACCATGAGAAATGTATTTATGATTCACACAGTATGTTATATAATACAAAAGCTACATGTAAAAAAGTTCCAATCAAAGGCACACACTGATAGAAAAATTTCATAGATCCATATTTGAGGAAAAGAATTTCTACTAACTCAATATCCTGTTAATTACTTTATCATTTATTCAGCATACATTTAGCAGTTTTCATCATATATAAGTACAGATGATGCAAGGAACAGATGAGTTTTCAACTAAAAAAAATTGGCACAAGCATATTCAACTGTAACAAACATACCTTGATTTTGATATCCAAGACAACTCAGATTTTAGAAAGCCTTAAGGCCAGCAATTTTACTAATCATGACTGTAATATACCAATAATGAGTGCAATATACATAAAAGAAAAGAATTATACTAGGATAACTTCTTGACTTTTGAGACTAAATGCCTGAACACTGTGCTGTATATAAAAACTGTCAGAGGTTCTGAGGAAGGGGAAAAATACAATTATGCAAATTATGAATATGTAGGTTCTCTAACATCAGGAGTTTGTTATATTTGTCTCTTTAAAGAATAAGACCATAAATGTCACACTGAAATTCAATATATATAAACATGCACATAATATGACTGCTTTAAAATGTTGTTTTCCCAGCTGACCCTCTATAGAAAGTTTCTTTCCTGAAATATTTTGCTACTTCGAAACACTTAAAAACACAGCAATATATTTTTTTTAAAAGGTGAATCTTTGTGAAAACATTAACAGATCAGTGGCAATAAGATGAAAATATAAATATACTTACAGTGCCAAACTGCTTCACATTTTGAGCACACTTCTTACAAATTGTATTTGTTTTGCTGAAAAGGAAATTGTATATAGATGATGAAACTTATGCAGCACAATGTTGAACTAAAGCAAGCAGTCAAAGTGTACTATAAGTAAAAGTGTACTCTCTGCTTTAATAGTACTTAAAACTTATTCTAACACAGAGCAAGAATTTTTCAAAAATAACAACATAAGATCTTTTCAGGGCTGTATTTTTTTATCTAAGTTTACTCCTCTTAATTAAGAGAAATGTTATTGCATATTTTAAATGGAAACAAAACTAAAATTCTATCATTTCCTACTTAGTTCCAAAATCTTCACTTGCCACCATGTATGCACAGCATCAGTGCCTACATAACCTTCCACTGTTCGCTCTTCACTATTATGATGCTTATACCTGTGAAGAAATTATTATTTTTCATTATTCTTTTTATAAACTCTTCTATAGGTACTGAGGCTCTAACAGGAATCACTCCATTATAAGATGTGTTTTTCTTTCACTGGTGACAAGTTACTAGACTTTGCTATAGACCTTTCCTCAAGTCCATGTCAGCACTAATGTTCTACCTTTTTAAGTTTTTTTGATGTGGGCCATTTTTAAAGTCCTTACTCGGACTTTAAACAAACAGTATTTGTTAAATTTTTTGTGTTTTGGTTTTTGATGGCCTCAAGGCATGTTGTATCTTAGCTCCTTCACCAGGGATGGCACCTGCACCCCCTGCATTGGAAGGCACTTAAACCACCGAACTACAAAAGACGATCCTGTCGTTTTTTTCCCATCTTAACAATAATTGATATATGCACTTTTCATTAGCAAGGCTGTATATTTTCCTTGCAATAATTTATTTTTTATTTCCTCAGGTATAAAGTATAGCTGTAAAATACCCATTAATTTTTGGTGAATATTCTCTCTCCTACTATGTAGAAACATGTAGAAAGTGCTTACAACTATAATTCTGAGAAACTAAAGCACTTTATTTAAAAAAAGCTTTAATATATATACCGGGTTACAAGCCTCAAGTATTCCTTACAGACAATACTTTGCCTTTAACAATCAAAAACTGTTCAATATACAAACCTCTCTTGTTGAAATTCTGATCTGCAGTAAGTACATTTTACAATAGGATGTGCAATCCGACATTCCTGTAATAAGACAATATATTAGTCAGTATCTCGAAGTCCCAAATTTCACTTTTCTGGTGGAAAATTATTACTCAACGTAGTCAAATGCCTGAAACGTCAATAAAATCTGTCCCCCAACGAAGACAATTGAGTGATTTTATCAAATAAGTGGCCAATTACAGCATAATTCCTTAGGGAAGGCTTAGATGTCTTTGTCTTTATTAGATATGGGGGGTACTCAACAGATTAAAATTACAGAAAGCTGTCAGGGCCGCCCCCAAGGACTGGTTAAATGTGAAACTACTTGTTATTTTGCACCGTCGCTCACAGACAGCATCCCGGCTTTAATGGGATGGGAGGAGCTCCAAATCTTAGAGCATTCTGTTCCCAAGCCAGACGCTTCGCTTTCCCGGACAGGGAAGGAGGATGCCATCAGCTCTGCGGCTTCGGGTTCCTAGCAAGAAAGTGCAAACACCGTCCTCTGCCTCCCGGTGGAAGGAGAGGACAGACCAGACAGAAAACCCAGAGGAAAACGTCTCCATCCCGGGGTCTCTGCGGCATAGACAGGTGGCTGCCTCACGCAGCCCCACCCCGAGACCCCCTCAACGTTGCTGGGGCCCGGACCCCTCTCGGGCCGCCTAGAAGAGGGCAGGGCTCTGTCCTCCTCTGAGGGGCTTTCCCAGCAGATGCCCAGGTCCTCGGAGAACCGGGTCTCTGGGTGAGAAGGCGAGAACTCCAAACCCCCAAGACGCCAGCGAGGAGAGACAGAGGGGGTGGGGGGGCTGCAGTGCCACAGGGGCACCCAGCTCCCTCGGGCCACGGCCGAGAAAACCCCGCCCGCCCGCCACCCAGCGCCCACGGACCTTGCAGAGCTGCTGGCCCTGGGAGAGCTCCTCGAAGGGATAGCGCTGGGTGCACTTGGTGCAGGCATACAGGGCCGAGGCCGCCATCCTGCTCCTCAGCCTCCTCCTCTACCGCCGCCCGCTCCGAGGCGGGGCCCCACGGGGAACTCGGGCGCCGCCGCCGCCGCCGCCGCCGCCGCCGCCGCCCGGGCCGCGCGGGCTCCTCCTCCTCCCCCGCCCTCGGCCTCGCTCCCACCAGACCCTCGCCGCCAGAGCCCGAGGCCCCGCGGCCGCAGCCGTCTCCCTCCGCCTCCACTTCCGCCCCAGCCCACCCAGTGACGCCGTCCCAGCCGCTCCCGCTTAGGCCCCGAGAGCGGCGGAGGGAGACGAAGCGGGGAGTTTCGCTGCGGTTTAGCTGCGCGGCGGCAGATCCGCTTCCTCCTCGGCCTCCCCTTCCGCACCCCTGATTGGCTGAGGCGGCGACTGCGTCACTCGGCCGCCCCGCCTAGCTTCTGACCCCCGGTACGCCGGGCGCGCCCACAAAGGGAGGACGTCGCTGGCCAATAACAGCCTGACGCCCTCAGCGCGCGAAAGCTACTTTAAACTCGCCCCGCCCCGAGGCCCCGGTCGCGGCTATTTCCAGCAGCCAGTCCCAGGTTTGCGTGGGAGCTCCCCAATCTAATTGGGCAGTTGTTTGTAGAGGTTTACTCTCTGCCCCGACTTTTTTTTTTCTCCCCTTGACTTCCATTGGACCAAATCTCTAGGCCCCTCCTTATCCTATTTGTTATTGGCCGAAAGGGAAATACCTCACCTGGAGAGGCGTCCCCGGGTCAAACTCAAGCTCTCTCCGGCGTTTAGCCCGAGGGAAGTGATGGAGGGTTTTGAGCTTCGAATTCGATTTTATTTTATCCCATTCAACTCACTCGCCACTGGAGACACCATAACCCCTCGCCCAGGTTTCCCCCTCGAGAATGCCCGCCTCTGCGCAGAAACCCCTCAGGAGCGCTGCGCGGTCGCCCACCGCGTTCCGGCGGCGCTCTGTCGGCGACGAGCTACCTTGTGACGTCACCGAGGGAAGAGGCGGGTTCTCCCGCCACCGGAAGATGCCTGCTCTTTTGATTGGCTGCTCAGGACATCCGTTAGGGCGTGTGGTCCTTTCCTTGTGCGCTCCGAGCGTGGGCGTCCCGCTGGGGGTGTGTGGCAGGGGTTTCCAGACCCGGCACCTGCACCCTAGCCCCTTCCATCCGGGGTTCGGCCCAGGGTCGCCCCTGGCGGGCGGCTCGCGAATCTTGAAGAACAGCCACGCAAACCCGGAGCGTCCCGGGGTTGCGGAGATCCCCTGGGCGGGCTGGAAGATGGCGGCAGCATCGGTCTCTGAGACTTCGGCTTCTCAGTTCTCGGTAAGAAGCCGTTGACCTTCAAATAGACCCTGGGTCGGTTCCAGCGCCCCCTGTGCATTATCTCACTTTTCAGAGCGCTCTCGGTCCCGCGTCTCCCCAGTCCTGGGGAGCCGCGGGGGACACCTCGATGGCTCCGTTGCTGCTTCGGCGCCCACTGCTTCGTTTGAGGCTACATCCTGCAATTGAGACGGCCTAGGTCTGTCTCTCCCCGTCTGCCCCCGTCACCTTTCGGCGTAGCCGCCCTGGCTTGCAGAACGTTGCCTGGACTCGCAGGGATGGCTACCTACACCTTGGCCCGCGAAAACCGCGTTCCCGGGTCACGTGGGTGTAACGGCCCCTCTTGGAAACTGTCCGAGACCAGGTGGGCGCTCTAGTTCGTCGACTTGATTGGCGGCTGTTGAATTGTACGCAGCCGAGTGCTTCTGCGGATTTCTTTGCCTTCAGTGCCTCCTCCCATCCTCCCAGTAACTTCTATTTGTGCTTAGCCTACCCTGAGCGCGCGCGCGCTCTTCCTGCTTCCCACCATATTACGATGACCCCAGGTTGCAAATCAGCAGGGAGAGCTGATCTTAATTACTGTATTGGCCTCTAGAATAATAGCTAGCCTGTTGAGGTACTAGTATTTTGTTGGAGCGGGACCCTTCGCATTGGGAGTAGATAGGCAGTAAATGAATGTGAAGAAGCTCAAGTTGGAGCCGTTAGCTCTTCACGAGCAAATCTGAGTGTCTGGCATACAGACAGGCTCTAGGATTACACAGATGGATAGGGGAGAATCCTTGATGCTAAGGAAGAAAGCACTGAAGAGAAGCTACACGTAGTTAGCTTGTTACACAGTACGATTTGATAAATACTACCCTGCTAGAAAAACCTACGTGAAAGTGATGAGCAGTTCTTGGGGTAGGGGAGATGGACCTAGCTGAGTGGTGAAGGAATAGGAAATGCTTGTCCCAGGAGCCGAAAAGGGAGGATAAAAAGGCACCGCAGGAATTTGGAATATGTGCCAAGACAAGTGCCTTCAGGAAACTTTAAATAATTTGAAATGAGCAGTGGTAGTGTGAAGGTAGAGTTCGGTTAGGTGAATTGTTAAAATATGAGAAAAGAGGGAAAATATTAGGGTAAAGTTTAATAGAAGTTAATCGGAAGAAGTTTAGGGAGACAGTAACAGCAGTATCACCTTGGCGAAAATACTCCTTTTCCCAGTTTCAGCTTTTGGTGACTGTTGCTAACATTTGTTTTACTGAGGCCAGAAGTGATATTCAAGGTTTCAGCACAGTAAAGGTAGCAAGTGTGTGGAGAGGTCAGAGAAGATTAACAGGAAAGAAGGAAGGTAACAATTGGAGTTATCCAGGAACTAAGTCAGTAAAAGGGAAGATAAAAGACAAGCTTAGGCTATTAAGTGTAACTTGATGGATGAGATATCAGTCAGTTCAGTTCAGTTGCTCAATAGTGTCCGACTGTTTGCGACCCCATGGACTGCAGCACACCAGGCCTCCCTGTCCATCACCAGCTCCTGGAGTCCACCAAAACTCATGTCCATTGAGTCGGTGATGCCATCCAACCATCTCATCTACTGTTGTCCCTTTTTCTCCCACCTTCAATCTTTCCCAGCATGGGGGTCTTTTCAAATGAGCCAGCTCTTTGCATCAGGTGGCCAAAGTATTGAAATTTCAGCTTCAACATCAGTCCTTCCAATAAACACTCAGGACTGATTGTAGGATGGATAGGTTGGATCTCCTTGCTGTCCAAGGGACTCTCAAGAGTCATCTCCTACACCACAGTTCAAAAGCATCAATTCCTCAACGCTCAGCTTTGCTTATAGTCCAACTCACATCCATACATGACCACTGGAAAAATTATAGCCTTGAGTAGACGGACCTTTGTTGGCAAAGTAATGTCTCTGTTTTTTAATATGCTCTCTAGGTTGGTCATAACTTCCTGCCAAGGAGTAAGCATCTTTTAATTTCATGGCTGCAGTCACCATCTGCAGTGATTTTGGAGCCCCCAAAAATAAAGTCTGTCACTGTTTCACTGTTTCCCCATCTATTTGCCTTGAAGTGATGGGACCAGATGCCATGATCTTAGTTTTCTGAATGTTTAGCTTTAAGCCAACTTTTTCACTCTCCTCTTTCACTTTCATCAAGAGGCTCTTTAGTTCTTCTTCACTTTCTGCCATAAGGATGGTGTCATCTGCATGTCTGAGGTGGTTGATATTTCTCCTGGCAATCTTGATTCCAGATTGTGCTTCATCCAGTCCAGCATTTCTCATGATGTACTTTGTAAGTTAAATAAGCAGGGTGACAACATACTGCCTTGACGTACTCCTTTTCCTATTAGAAACCAATCTGTTGTTCCAAGTTCGGTTCTAACTATTGCTTCCTGACCTGCATACAGACTTCTCAGGAGGTAGGTCAGGTGGTCTGGTATTCCCATCTCTTTCAGAATTTTCCATAGTTTATTGTGATCCACACTGTCAAAGGCTTTGGCATAGTCAATAAAGCAGAAATAGATGTTTTTCTGGAACTCTCTTGCTTTTCCGATGATCCAGTGGATGTTGGCAATTTGATCTGTGGTTCCTTTGTGTTTTCTAAATCCAGCTTGAACATCTGGAAGTTCACGGTTCATGTATTGTTGAAGCCTGGCTTGGAGAATTTTGAGCATTACTTTGCTAGTGTGTGAGATGAGTGCAATTGTGCGGTAGTGTGAGCATTCTTTGGCATTGCCTTTCTTTGGGATTGGAATGAAAATTGACCTTTCCAGTCCTGTGGCCACTGCTGAGTTTCCAAATTTGCTGGCATATTGAGTGCAGCACTTGCACAGCATCATCTTTTAGGATTTGAAATAGCTCAACTGGAATTCCATCACCTCCACAGGCCCACTTGACTTCACATTCCAGGATGTCTGGTTCTAGGTGAGTGATCACACCATCATAATTATCTGGGTCGTGAAGATCTTTTTTGTACAGTTCTTCTATGTATTCTTGCCACTTCTTCTTAATATCTTCTGCTTCTGTTAGGTTCATACCATTGAAAATGAAAATGAAAATTTATTGAAAATGAAAGTGAAGTCGCTCAGTTGTGTCCGACTTTTTGCGACCCCGTGGACTGTAGGCTGCTGGGCTCCTCCACCCATGGGTTTTCCAGGCAAGAATACTGGAGTGGGTTGCCATTTCCTTCTCCAGGGGACAGAAGTTCTATAGAGTTTTTAATAGGAAAACATATATTTGTATATGCTAAGCTCAGCTTTAAGTGGATTCTCAGCTTCCAGAATACTCTTAAGAATATCTAGAATGCTTTATGCATCAAAGTGTAACTCTTTTAACTTGACCATTTAAATCAAAATGTCTAATTTGGAAGTCAGTATGTCTCAAAACAAAAATGACAATTTATCAATGTATAATGGCTGTGCTTTGATACTTTTAACTGTCGTATCAAAAATAAGCCTGGCATTTATAGCAGAATTTATAAAGCACTTTATCTTAACAGACAACTGCTCATAAAATAAGACAACAAAGACCTTTTAAACCTACAACATGAACTCAGCAGGCTACTCATAATGAGATTTCAGAGTTGTGAATATTAACCGTCTGTGTATTTAACATTGATAAACCCAGCATGCGTGCTCAGTTGCTTTAGTCGTGTCCAACTCTTTGCAACCCTGTGGACTGTAGCCCGCCAGGCCCCTCTCTCCATGGGATTCTCCAGCCAAGAACACTGGAGTGGGTTGCCATGCCCTCCTCCAGGGGACCTTCCCGACCCAGGGTTTGAACTCAGGGCTCCTGTGTTGCAGGCAGATTCTTTACTGCAGAGCCCAGGGGGAGGCCCCAGACACAGTTTAGGTGTAATAAAATGAAGATGCTTTTAGCAGGCAAGGAGTTTTCTTAGGTAAATTCACAAATAATACAATCTGTAAGTAGCAGTTGAGGTGTAAATCTCAAATGTGAACAGTGTGGAAGTAGGTGATACATTTGAATTGTTCTTACAAGCCTTTCACTGCAACAACAGCAGGAAGAGTGACAGCTAGCAGCTAACATTTATTGAATGACTGCTATGTATCAACTCACTAGTGGAGAGCCTCAGGAAAATATTAGTAAGTATGATCAGGCATAATGATACAAAAGTATATAGTCAGCATAGTGTTGTAACAGTATCCTTCCTGTGGTTTTTACTTATTTGTCTACATTTTTCCCATTAATAATGGTCAGTCTTTCCTTTTGGCTCAGCTGGTAAAGAATCCGCCTGCAATGCAGGAGACCCCAGTTTGATTCTTAGGTCAGGAAGATCCCCTGGAGAAGGCATAGGCTGCCCACTCCAGTATTCTTGGGCTTCCCTTGTGGCTCAGCTGGTAAAGAATCCGCCTGCAATGCGGGAGACCTGGGTTTAATCCCTGGGTTGGGAAGATCCCCTGGAGAAGGGAAAGGCTACCCACTCCAGTATTCTGGCCTGGAGAATTCATAGACTGAATAGTCTGGTCAACACACTCTTGTGTCACTTTGGACTTAAACTGGTCTCCTAATTGGTCTCTCTGGCTTTTTATCCAGGCCCATTGTTATTGCCCTTTATTTATTTTTCTTAAAAGTGTTTTATGATTGTTTCATAGATTTCATATGAGATTCATTTTGGGGAAACAAAATGAGTACATTCATGCCCCTTTGTGCATCTTCCTGCTTCTGTCTTTTATTCTCTTTTACACACATTTTGAGATTATAATAATGTGTAATACTTGTGTAGCACTCATTATCTGGCAGGCATTTTAAATACTTTTCATATATTAATGTAGCTAATCCTTACAGTAATTTTATGAGGTTGGCTTTAGTATCTCCATTTTCAAATGAGCAAAAGAAGGTACAGAAAGGTTAATTGAAAATTATACAACTAGCAAATGTCAGTGCTTTTATATTTCTGTGTAGTATAGTATCTTGATGGGCTTTGGAGTTTTTAGGGTTTGTTCATGTTTGTCAGCTATAATGAGCAGTCTTGTGTGATCATCTCTGTATGTTCCAT